TCCCTTTTGTTAAAATGCAAGCACTCTTTTCTTGCTGACTCCCCAGTTGTATTCTTTACCTCATTGAGCTGTTTGCTAGGCCGCTCTCTGGACATTGCAACTTTCTCTACCTTTGCTGTTCTCCACAGACCATCTTTGGTCTGATCCTGTGCTAAAGAGACCTCACAAGATGTGCATGTGGTCTCTGTTGCCCTGAACTGTGTGGCAGAGAAATCTCACAGGTTGTAGCTCTGCTGGAACACGTTGTGTATGTATATATGCTTACACACTTCATATACACATTACATACAAAATACATGTATATATTTTACACAAAAAACTCAGGGAACCGAAACAGAAAACAAATCTGCTGGATTAGCCAGCCTAGCAGAAGCTTCTCGACACCTGTGATGGTATAAGAAGTTTAGAAGTTGACACATATGCTCAGCCTTGCCCATCCTGGGCCCATGAGAGTTAATGTACGTGCAGAACAATTTAGTGCTTGTGTATTCACCAGTGCCAGGGGTGGGCAGAATGTTTTCTGTGCATTAGATGCAGCCTTAGTGAAAAGGAAAAGGGGGTATGTATGCATACGTAGGAGTAGAGAGGAATTCATCCAAACTTGGCGGGGAGGGGGGGGGAAGTAAAACTATTTTATATTTTGAAAACACTTGAAGTAAGTAATTGAACACATATAACTGCCGTGTACTAAAAGATATCTGAGTGCTGCTCATATGAAAAGGTTGTTCTTCAGTGTTGATATCAAGAGTGTACGGTACAGAAGTAGTCCCCCCATTTGTAAATATTGAAGTTGTGTTTTAAGTTACTAAATTTTAATTAGACTGAAAACAATGCAGTTGCTTGTCTCTGAAAGACAAAGTTTTATGTTTATGACTTTCTGAAAAGTTACATTCACTACAGTACAGCAACTGTGGTGAAAAAGCGTGACAAAGCCCAGCTTCTTTGGAAAAATGCCATTGTTGATTAATTGCAATATATTTCAACTGTGTATAGATTTCTCACAGTTACCTAATAAACACACTGGTTTCATTCTTCAGAGATTAACAATCTCTCTTGTGTGCTCAAGTTCTTTCCAGCTTAGTACACTGTTTCTTTTGAAGGATTTGTTTTCCTGGGTTGAACTTAAGAACTCAGAACACCTTATCACACTTTCACAACCTTGGGAAAGAAGAGGAGGAAAAAAAGCCCATCAAGGCTGGTGCCAGCTAAATCCAAGCTCTCCAGGGACTTGTTTTTCTTTTGGTGTCAGATTAGATGTTCAAACCAAGTGATGTTGTGGGGCTGCGGGTCAGTGTCCACCGAACCCTTAACGAGGCTAATCCCACAGCATCACATTCCAAGCAGCTAATGGGTACAAGGGCTTTGCTCGCTCTCACATCTCTGCCCTGCGGATGGACTGAGCACCTTGTTCAGGGGGCAGTCGCAAATGTGTCATTAGCGATGACCAGCAGCAGGGAAACGTGGACAGCAGAGTTTGCTCCGGGACAGACTTAAACGCCAAGTTTGATGCTCAGGTAAAGAAGAGGGAGAAAAAATCCTCTTGGTGGGATTTTGCAGCTAGGTTAATGAAAAGATAGACTTAACCTAGAGATTTAAGCTACAGTAAACTAAATCTAAGTATGACATGTGCTTTAGGCATTCACTGTGGACTTTAAATTGTCTTATGAAATAATACTGAAGGAGTGTTTATGAAATAAGAGAAAGAGAAGATAAACTTCTTGCTCTGCTATTATTGAAAATACTCTGCTATACTTTTCTAAACTTTTTACTACTTTATTAATTCACATTATAAACAAGAGTTTAATGCAGACTGTGTTGTGATGAATGTGTTGATCTCAAGTTATTCTAATTTTGTTATGAAGACTCTTTGGCAAATAACATAATTTATTATACTTCTGAACCTTGTATTTCATTGCAAATGATCGCCGTCACAGAAAGATAACTGGCATGGGGCAGAGAAACCAGATGCTTTCTTTTTTAGCTTGGAGGGACGAGGAATTATGAAAGGAATAAATCGGGTATTTTGGCATTATGACTCAGTCAGGTAGGATAGTATACTGTTTAAGATCTAAAAGCCAGAAAGTCTTTCTTCCTGATGTGAATAAAGGACTTTTTAAATCAGACTATTATTTTTGCAATTTTACACTTGAAGTATGATGAAAATTCAAATGCAAATTATTATTATATTTAACATAGCTGGGTTTCTTTTCTACTTGCAAAGATAGTATGAAAAAGAGTAGGGAAACAAATTTTAAATGCCAGTTTCCTGGTTTGTGAAAGCCTGCTTGTATACCTAAAGAAAAAAGTTTTCAGTGAAGTCCCTGTTATGACACGTTTTGGTATTGTATCTTGAGGCTTAGAGAAACTGAATTAGTGGCCATCTTTAAAAAAGATACATTAGGTCTATGTAGTAAGTAAATTCACCAGTTGCTTGCAGAAAATTACACAAAAATTATGAAATTTAATATAGGATATTTTTAGTGAGTCTTGGCAACATGAATGAGAATCATATGCTATGTAAGTTCTGCAGTAAGAGCTGATTTTGCATGCCAGGAAGAAAAGTTTGCTTATAAAAGCTTTTCTTTCTTTCTAGAGAAGACAAAGCATATCTCAGGCATGTATTTAGTGTTAAAACAAAAAAGCATGATGATAAAATTGGTATTATTCTATAAGTGTTCCTTTTTTGTCAAAAGGTTACTGTGTGTACAGTACAAAACATACAGGACTCATAAATCAGCAGCTTCTTATTAGTGTGCGTCTTCTTAAGGCAATATAGAGAGCTTGTGTACTCTTGGAGCTTGAAGGGGAGAAATTTCATGAATGTGTTGTCTGTACAGCAAAGTACATAATTTCAATGTTAACATTGCAATACCTGAATAATAATTGTAATTTTCTTTCTTTCTCTACAATGCTCAACAAAAAGAAAAACCCTAATTTTCCCATGTGGTTTAGCTTCAAAAGTTCTGAAGTAAGAGGGTCAAATGAAGTTCATAAAGCTTATTCTGGATGCCTTGACAGCTCTAGAAAGTTAATTTATAAAAAGCCTTTCTTTGCCTGAAAAGACTACTAAATTGAGAAATTACTCAATGATCCACAAGGGCTTGAAGCTGAATGGACTGTATAATATAAATTGTTGTGATGATGATGATGATGATGATGATTATTGCCTGCATCATAGGCTTGTAAGCATTTAGAAGTTATAATAAATTAGAACTTCAATGTAATCTCTACAATATAAAGCAAAACTTTTTTAGATTTTTCAGAATTTCTATTTAACTGTCCTTTGATTAAACATGAAACAAACCTTGCCCCACATTCTGTATTAACTTTCTGTTTGCTACAGTAAGGAAGAACAATCAAATACAGTGCTATTTAATGTTTTTAATAGACTTCTTTTTCCTGACAGTAAAAGTCATCTTAGAGTGTCTGCCATTTCTACAAAATATGAAGTCTAGTAGATTTTTCAAATAAAGATGCATGCAGAGGAAAGATAAAATATTGTTATGTAACATGAGTGACCAGTAGATACAATAAGGGATCATATTATGTGAAAAAGGCAAAATAATAACTTTTTATGTATGAGAGTGATAAGTGATGAATGTAGCTGGAAATTCTTATTATGGTACTTTACAGTTTATACTAGTGACATTCATTGACTCCAAGCAATTTCCGCAGTTCGCAGTGATTCTCAATAGTCCCAGAAACACAGGTTGCAGATTGAGTGGAAAAAAAGGTAATATTAGATAGTTAGTAAGGTAATATTAGTTAGTAAATGTAATACTTAGATAAGTTACTAGCTAACCTTACATGGTAAAAGGTAGCATTCGTTAGTTAGGTAATGTTATAAAGCCAATTTCATATTTTCTCTTTTTATAGAGGCAAGATGCTCAGATTTCCTTTAAGTTTTCTAAAGCTCATTTCACATTACTTAGTTCTCAGATAACTTTGTCATAGTTTCTAGTTTATAGTTCTGTTTATGCTGCACAATTAAATAGGTAATTTATTTATTTAAATACATTTTATATAATTTATCTATTTGAAATGTATTTTTAAAGGAAAGTTTCAACTCACCTCCTTATTAAATGGAATAATTTAATTCCATCTGGGGGAATCTTTTAGAGAGCTTGCCGGAATTCATACTATATGGAGTGAGGACTGTCTAGATAATTAAAAAGATTACAGAACTCTGAAGGTCTCTTGTTTCTTGTTTTGAATTTTTTCTTTTCCTACCCATCTATTTTTCTTTAAAAAAGGATCTCTTGTGCACCTGAAAATTAAGACTACCCTAAGGAAAGTAATTTGCTCACCTGCAAATATCTTGAGGAAGATCTTGAGTGTTACGAACGGGCATAGCTTCATTGAACTCAACCAGTTTTAGAGGTTACATCAGCTGGTCATCTAACTCTTAATGTATCAAAGTTTTTTGTGTCTTGTTTCGGTAACAGAACTCTTTTTATTTTTTTTTCTTCCATTAAGATGTCCACATATGAAACTCTATTTTCTGGCTGCATGTTAAACAGGAGTCTCAGTACTTGTATAAAAAATTGCATTGGTATCATGGTGTTATAAGTTTTATTGTGAGATTTTTATTTTCTAGTTGCTGACGTCTTTTTTTTATTAAAGCTGACTTAGTTGTGTCACTAAAGTGGAAATAGATTTCTTAAAGTATTTTTAATGAATATGTGTGTTATTTGTCTATCATGCAGAGAGCTTTACAGTTTGAAATAATCCTTCTCCACTGATTCTTGCTATGAATATATAGATGACAGCATCAAAGTAGCTAGCGAATATGAAAACAATCTTAAAAGCTTGTGTTGGGTGTTTAGCTCTAGAAGGGAACAATAATTCTAGTGTAAAATGTTTGCTCTCTGCAAAATGTGCATTGCGTATCTGCAAAGTCAGTGAAGTTTTCTTCATTGTTTGAAGTTTCTTTTCAGTTGTACTATAAGTTGTGTTTAATAAGCAAACAGAGCTCACAGCATTTCCTTTCTCTTTTCTAGGCACAGAAATCATGGATAGAAAGAGCATTTTACAAGAGAGAATGTGTTCATATCATACCCAGCACCAAAGACCCCCATAGGTAATTGAATGCTACTTGTATGAAAAATGAAAGTCAGTTATAAGAAAATGTCTATATATATGTGTGCATACATGTTTATATGGATATAAATAGTTTGTAAGGGTTTACTTGATCAGAAGGTGGTTGAATTACATCTAGAGTGATGGATTCCTATGGGCAAAAATTATTTAATCAAAAAAAAAAAAGATAAATCAAAGGTGGATGAACATCTACGTTCAATTTCCTTATCTTCTTAGTTCAGTATTTAGTGCCTTGAATATTTACTTGAATTGGATGCATGACACACGATACTGTCAAAAGAAAATAATTGCAATGAACTAAAATATGTGCTAGTCCATGCAGAAACTGATTATTTGGCCCGATGTCATCTGAAGACAGCAGCAAATGTTCTTTAAATTCATTTTATACATATCTAGAACAAAGCATGATTTTATTGAAATATCACAGCATCACAGAATCATAGAATCATAAAATAGTCTGGGTTGGAAGGTCATCTAGCTTAAGCCCCCTGCAGTGATGAGGGACATCTTCCACTAGATCAGGTTGCTCAGATGCCCATGCAACCTGACCATGAATGTTTCCAGGGATGGGCCATCTACCACCTCTCTGGGCAACCTGTTCCAGTGTTTCGCCACCCTCATTCTGAAATATTTCTTCCTTATATCTAGTCTAAATCTACCCTCTTTTAGTTTAAAACCGTTACACTTTGTCCTATCACAACAGGCCCTGCTAATACATAGGCGAGTCCAAAGTAAACAAGATCATAGAAAGAAAAGGTAATATCTGTACTGTGTTGCTTCCACAACTAGAGGCTTCAGATAGCAGGAAAGTGGTCAGCAGAGTTGAAAGGGTTTTGGTTTTTTTTTTTTGAAGATTTGTAGGCCGTTAAAGATAGTTTATTTCCCTGCTTAATCATGCATGCACGCGACTCAAGTTTTCTGTTTGTTTAATGTCATAGGTGTTGCTGTGGGCGTCTAATAGGTCAACATGTTGGACTGACTCCAAGCATCTCCGTTATTCAGAATGAGAAAAATGAAAGCAGGCTTGCTCGCAATGACATCCAGTCGGAGAAGTGGTCCATCAGCAAGCACACGCAGCTCAGCCCGACGGATGCTTTTGGAACCATTGAGTTCCAAGGAGGAGGCCACTCCAATAAAGCCATGGTAACCCTGTTTTTCTCTTACATAAATAATGCTGCTATCTCAAAAAAATGCATTCACAAAGAATAAACAGCATTCTTTATTAACTTCATTTTTAAAAAAAAGTTAGTGTAAGACCGTACCATATGTTTTTATGTATCATATGCCAAAAAATGGGTGAACAGAATTAACTGTAAAAGGTGGAGTGCTGCATAAGAGGGGCTACCTTTATGAAGAACAAAGACATGCTAATGCACTATGTCAATTTTCTTCCAGTGGATAGCCATCCCTCTTTTTCTCAATAACTTTAGAATTCAACTAAGGTTTCCCATTTCTGATAGTGTCTGCAAGGCTGAAAAATTTGAAATATACCAAATTTGTTTCAATATTCCTCCAGACATATATCAGAGGATAGACCAGTTAGACTTACAGGTTCATCTTTCAATGAAATAAGAGTCCCAGTAAGTGTCTAAACTAGGAACTGGGATATCCCTATTCTGCCTCAGATTTCCTTGAGCAAGTCACTTAATCATAATACAATACTATGGAGCAATACCAAAGTATATCAATCTGAAGGGATTGCTCCACTAAATTGGAGGATGTTTCCACCATCCACACTAAACGGTACATGCATTTCTTCTATGTGGCATCACATGAAAGGAAGAATCTCTCTGGCTCTATGCAAACTGCAGAACCCGGGAATATGGGAATGAAAAATGAGTGTGTACCTGGCATATTGTGGCCAAGATACTGCTGTGAGCAGCAGTGAGGGTAGAAGCAGAACCCCTGGGTGCTCTGCAGGATAACCTGCCCAGCAGCTCAGTACCATCTTCTTTGCTCGAATTATTCCTGACAGGTCTCTCACATCTGTCATGGTACTAGGTGGATTACAGACAATTAAGAGCTCAGGTACTATGGTGGTAAGAGCCAGATACAACAACCAGCACCTCAGATGGATACATAGGTGCTGGAGATGGAAAAATTACTTGAGTGGATGGTTTTGTTTGTTCAGATGGATGGCTTCTTTTCATAGAAACCAGAAAACACTGTTGCACCAAGAAACAGATAGAAAATTAGGTCTTATCTCTGAGAGCATCACATATACCTTATGTTCTGTTGATAACCAATCACCTAAAAATCTTCAAGGCTATTGCTATAGAGAGACTCTGATTCAGTAAATAACATTTGTTTAGTGTGAATAAATTGATGCCTCCTTCAGCACAGAAATGAACCAAACCATGCTGTTGGTATCTTCACAAAGAGTGGGAGCAAAACAGAATGCTTTTCACCAAAACTAAGATTCAGAGGTATAGTAACCATCATGCTATTAATTATATATGGATACTTTGCATTAAATCTGCCTTTATGAGAAAGGGTAATCGCTAGCGCTTTTTCAGTGATGTCCTTGAAGATCACTATAAAGCAATAAACTGCCTTGCCCAACAAAAGTAGACTGGCAGCCAAGAAATGATGAAGGGTTTAGGGAAGCTGTTGACACCAGTTTCTCTAGAGGATTTCTGATCTTTGTTGCGATGCTGGTATCCTGGTATGGTGCCATAAGAGAACAGGAGATGCCCCAAGGTATATGCTGTGTGCTTAAAGAAATGTACTTGAAGTGAAACTGTGGACATAAAAGTGGAGGTCAACATGTAGGAAAGAAAAAAGCTTGTCACAGAGAGCAGTCAGGAATGAAACCATGAGGAATTTAGAAAAAGGAAGACAAAAAGGGGTTAAAAATCTGAGAAACCTAAATAACAAGTTAAAACTTGGGAATGATTACAGACAAAACATTTATTGCTGGAAAACTCTGGGTTTATTTTGACAGTACTAGAATCAGGAAGATAGTTACATCTGCCATCTATACATAGTCAATAAACCCTACCTGAAACACGGGAACAACTACTAGTGGAAAAAGTGCTCCAAATTACACAATTCACTAAATATCTCTTTAATGGGTGTCCTGCTTGGTTACCACCAGTGAGAAAAACATCTTGCATATGAGCAAAACACAAATAAGGAGGCTTACATCACCAGTAATTGTGCGTTTTTTAAAATGGAAACAAAATGAAGAGCTTTGTTATACTATGGTGTGTTTGTCACTGAAAACAGTGTGAAGGTGTCCTTATAGTCAGATTTCCAGACCCAAACATTATTTTAGGGTAGATTATTGTCAAAGAGCTGCCTAACTAGTTGTTGCAGTTTTATGAATAGAAAGAATGAAACTCCTGTCTCTGAATTCACTGGGTACAAGGTCTTTCCCATAATAAATAAAACTTAACAAATCAAAAGCTTTCTGTGAAAGCCAAGAGTTTGCTCAGTCAAAGCAACCAACCAATTTTGCAGCAGAGGAGAGAATAAAAAAGTATTTAAATTATCTTGAAAAATAAGAGTTGGAAAAAGGAACAAGTACCTAATTATCCTTGGAAACATTCTTATTCAGACAATATGCTTTCAAAAGCAAAAACAAGAGAAACCGGAACATCAACAGGGAAAGGAGAAGAGAGAGAAAAGGGAGAAAACATGATAAATAGACATTTGTCTTTTCTAAAAGTATGCTACTTAGTTATTTTCTAGCTACTGGATATCAAATATCACTGTTAGCATACAAGCTGATTTTTACTGACGATAATGGTAGGTTAATATTGTGCTATTGGCTAATAGAATAACCCTATAAAGTAGCAAGATTTAGCAAGCTGACCAACATCAAGGAAGTCCTCAGGGGAAGAATTTGGCATAAAATCCACAACCTGTTCCTTACTTTTTTTCCTGAAATGGATGCCCACACAAGAAAACTATTAAGAAAGGGAAACACAGAACTGAGTAGTACTATCTTGGTCTGTGCTAACAGCAAAATTGAAATTGTAGTAGAATGCATGGATTTGGAATAAGACAGAAAAAGCTATGTAGGTTTACATATTGTCAATAGAACTATGTCATTAATTTCATTTCCCAGCCACATAGAACAAAATTTCTCAAACAGCATGAATTTTGCTAAAACTATCGAGTTGTTAAAGTATCTTCAGTGGGACTACACTAAGCTACTTAAATCAATAATGTGAATAGCTAAGAGTGCAGCAGATTGTATGGAAGCACATAGCCAAGATTAGATAGCAGTGGTTAACCAGATCAGTTACTAAAGAGGCCTTTCTTTCAGTCTTCATGTAACCACAGATGATCCTGCAACAACACTGTGGTTTTTAGATCTCTCTCACTCTCCTATTTTCTTTACAAGTGGCTCATCCCATTAATGTTTAAGAAACACTTTTAACAGTTTTGCTGTTCATATTTACATTGGTTTGACAGCAGATTTTCAATTTTGGCAACTTTTTTACAAAGATCTGAGAGGGATGTGGAGATGTATAAAATTTATTAACAACTTTTGCAATAAATCAGTGGATTTAAAAAAGATAGGAAAATTAATAAAATGTGATCTGCTTATATCAGTTGGTTCTTAGTAGTTTAAGAAATAACATGTAACTATATACTGGCATTTTATTACCCTGTCTCTAAGAGCAATTATCAAACTAATGTCAGTGATTCCACTCCAATTATGAGCAATATACTGAACAATTTGAGAACAGATTCTGGCCATTAGTGGACCAGTTAAGACAATCTTGCTGTGATGCATTTTGTACTGAACTTGTGACCAAACTAAACCAATTTTTTTTCTTTTACTATCTACCTTTCCACACACAAAAAAACTCCTTAATGTTGTTGCATTAATCGGTGTGCTTGGATTCCATACCAAACTTCTTGAAAGGACCGCTCTTTACAGAACTGAAATTTCTTTGATCATGGTTTTTCAAAGTTAGGTGCAGGATGGCTGTTTGTTTGAAAAGCTTTAGTGATTTAAATACATTCCTCTTAATTGAATGCATTCCAATGATACATTTAGTATGCATAATAAAAAACTAACATATGTTTGCAGCTGCAGAAAAAATAAAGTTTACTTCAGTGTTATAAGCTTAACCCTTCTTATGGTGCATTGAAACACGAAAGAATACCAGTATCATTCCAACGTACATAAAGTTTCTTAGACAGACTTTCTAATAGTCAGATCCTCAAAACATTATACTTTATTAATGATATTTGGAAATCAGCTACATAAAAAGGTATATTTCTGCTTTTAAAATATACTGAGTTTTATCAAAGTGTGTAAAAAGGATCTTAAAAGCTGTCAGTGCTTTTGAGAGAAAAAAAAAGAGAGACATAATCCTGTAATTTGTGTAAACCATGAAAAAGGCAGCAATCAATCATTGGTTTTGTTAAGGTAAATTAATACTTAAAGCACACTTAAAGAATTTAAAAAATGGTGTCCTACATGGAGGAAAAGGGGAAATAACACAGAAAAAAAAAAACCAAACATCTATCCAAAGCCCATTTAAATCAATGAGGGTCCTTCCACTGACTATTTAGTGGAACTTGGGTGAAGCCTTAAGATGTTAAGAAGAATAAACCAGCCTGCTTTCAGGTTAAGTGAGAGTTTTCCTGTTGAATTCAGTGAGAATTACATCAGGCCTATTTTTTATGTGAAGAACACCCTTTGAGGGAATCAGTCTTTAGCTTGAAGAAGTGTCTGCAGTGATGAAATCCAATTTAAGGTAGGTGAAATAGCCACCCAGTACCTGCATGCATCACTGAGAAACAAAGGAGCAAAGTTTAACTGCAGGTCAAAAAATGTTCTCTGAAGAGATTGTCTTTGACAAAAGACAACAAAATTCTGAATTTTTCTGTTTTATTTACTGAGACTTTCATCTACAGTCATTCACCATGTGCTTTAATCAGACAGCTGGTTTGAGTAAGAGAGTAGTAATTCTACGACACAGGAACTTCAACTTTTGCTCTAGGGCACTGGGGTCCAACTTGCAAGCATCTGGCTGTTTGACTGATGATGGGCACGGTTATTTTTTAGGAAACCACTTGACAAAAAAGTGAAACACCTATTGGCATCAAATGGCACCCTTGCTGACTACTTCTGTGCTAGTTTCGGCATCAAAGGGGCATGATGTCTTGAACTTTGTAATTTTCATTTCACAATGCTATGATGATGTCAGTCAGGTTGATCAGTAGGTTTTGTGGTTCAAAACTGTACTTTTGCTTCCTATCTTGCCCTGCTGTGCCGACACATAACAACTGAATTCTTGCATCCTATCCATACCCAACTCCCGTAAAGAGGGATTTAAATCATTTGCTATTAGAACTGATCATTTGTACAGCTGACAGATACACCAGACATAGAATTTCAGGGTAACAGAGCAGTGGTTTAGCTTAGACTTACATTTAAATTTTAAATTTGCCTCCGGAGGCTATAGCAAAAGAATTCAGGAATGGCAGAAATACTCCTTAAGATTCTAAACAAAAATGGAAAAGGCCAAATATTCTGCTACAAGATTGAAAGAAATGAATTTTTAATATGGACAAAAAAAGGCCTTAAAAGTGTTTATTCATAATTTAATGCATACTTTGAAAGTGATGACAAAGGAATTCTCTTGTACTTACTACATGTTAAGTATTGGCAAAAGAGTAATCTCAAGCATACCAAACTGAAAATTCCCTCTGTAAAAGCAAAAATGAATCAGAGTCATAAAAACTGAGGTGTATGCACAGAAGAAAAATTGTGATGTTTGGCACCAAAAAACTTCTAAATCAGTAAAGCTTAGCCATGATGATTTAATTTTTAATTTCTATGAAAGAAACTTCCAGATTTATTTTTGCTTAAATTTCCTCTTTATAAAGTAAAATTAATTCTTATCATAAGTATAGAGGGGTTTTGCCTGCAGTATAAAGAACAGGCGTCTTTTTGGAATAAAAGATGTCTACATTTCAAATAAATGTAAGAAAATATTTTTGTGATTCAGTATAAAGATTTATATTTATTGAAATTCAGAGGTATTAGCAGATAAGAAAATGAAAGAGATTTTTGCCAATTAATACATAGGCTTAAGAAGATAGGGAGAGTGAAGTCACAAATTCTGGGATATAAAACGATGCTAAAGAACAAAAAAAAATGGTCACTTGCTGGATAAGATAATACACATCTGATGTTATTTGTGCCTTCATCTTAATATAATCACAGATGATGCAGTGGCCTCTGTTTTCAGCAAGTTTGCATGGCCATTACTAATATAAATTAACTTTAATTATCTTCTTAAAATTCACAGTCTGTCTTCATGAAGATAACAGAGCACTGTACCAGTGATCACAAAAGATGATCTCCATGGTTTGACCAGCAGAGGTTTCATGTAGGCCCCCTGAAGGATGTTGTCTGTCTATTAATGCCTGTAGTGTAACAAGGTGTTGCCCTTCACAACCTCAGCTCTCACAAAGGGCAGGGCAAAGGGAATAAGAACCAGGCTCCTTAAGGCCCCTCTGCTGTGTTAAAACTTTCATGTCCCTCAAATCCTAATCATAGTTCTTAGCTTCACCATTTGGTCAGTGGGATCAGGTACCATGCAAGATTTTCTCAACTCTCACGCAGCAAATTGAATGGGTAGCTACTGAGGATGCAGCTCATGTATATGTAAGCCCGAGGGTACATTATGCTTTTGCTAGGCATGAATATTGTATGTTCTTTGTCCATTAGCTGTTATGAATTTGCCTGGCTGCTGCAGAGAACATTACGGATGCACTGGGGTGAATGCGTGCTCCCAAGTTCGTGCTCAGCTTTCAGTTTGGCTGTGCCCCCATTGCTTCCCTATAACTGTTTGCCCAGACGGACTTCTGCTTCCAGAAATGTTAAGAATGGCTGTTCACCGTGAAACAACCCATTCTTGCAAAGCAACCCATCTATTAGCAATTTCTTCTGGAAAAAGTCAAGTCCTTATTTCTTATTCAACTAGAAAGGAGTCCACTTTACTGTCATATGACTTACTATAAAAGAACAATCTAATCTTTTGGCAAGCAATACTGATTAGACATGTTAAAAGGGGAGAAAATGGTTACATAATATATGTGGATATTACACTACCTGACAAGTTACAATAAATAAGTTAGAACTAGGCATTCCTCTGGCTGAAAACAGAGGTGCCTGTGTTACAGATCTCATGGCTGTGCTGACGAGTCAAGGGAAAGTCTACTGAAGTAACTCTGTATGCATTGGTTCAATCAGAAGTTTGACAGATGAGAGGTTTTCTATAACCTATTTTATTCAATTAAGAGGGTCCTTCCACATCTTACCAGATGTAGAAAGAATTTTAACCTCTGGAGGTCCGTTTCTGCTGTGCAACTAGAATTTGAAAAAATATCATCTGCCCTGTCGCAGTTTTTGTGAAACCCTTCATACATCAGCAACAGAAAGAGCAGGAGAAAGAGCCCCAGAAAGAAAGGCTTGTCATGAAGAGACAGGTCTGTGTGCAACATGGTAGTGCTGTAGAAATTTTGAAGACTGTTGTTATCTTTAAGCACACACAGATGGGCATGATCTCCCTTGGGGCAAAATGCTGCAGATGTAGCACAGAAGAGCCAAGAACTGGAAACGTGTGAATGTGTTTCAAAGCACTTTTAGGGTCCTGTGCCATGTTAGGCAAATTCATGAGTCTGTACAAATCAGTCTGTAAGTCAGAAGTTAGCATTAGTTCATATGAGCAGCACCTGTTTTATAGTCTTGCTCAGTTTAAACTTATGTGTGCTTGAACAACTGAGCTTTTTTCTGTTATTTCCTACCGTTTGAGAGTTTGATTTTGTTAATTTGAAAATAAGATACAATTGAATGTACAGTTGTGACTCTGACAACCTAGGTCATCTTTGGCAGACCACTTAAATTTTTTCTTCAGTTTTTGCATCCCTAAATTAAAGACATTTATATTTTAAGCATTGCTAAGCACATTGAAACAATTAATGACTTCATTTCCTAAAGGAAAATTGTCCAGCCTGTGAATTGCAACTGTTCCATTATTCCTAGTTTCCTAGTTTCACAACTATTGAAAAAATCATCAGGTTAGCAATTAGTGCTTTTGTCATAAAAGTTGCCTTTTTTTTCAGTGATCCATTGGGCATAGATCATATGTATTATGAACCAGTGAGTAAAACCAATCTTTTTTTCTCTACCACTGCCCTTATTTCTGCAGTATGTACGTGTGTCTTTTGACACAAAGCCTGACCTTCTTCTGCATCTGATGACCAAAGAGTGGCAGCTTGAGCTCCCTAAACTTCTCATCTCTGTTCATGGGGGCCTTCAGAATTTTGAACTTCAGCCAAAACTCAAGCAAGTCTTTGGAAAAGGCCTCATTAAGGCTGCTATGACAACTGGAGCGTGGATATTCACTGGAGGAGTAAACACAGGTAACAACAACATTGAAGTGAAAGCACAGTGGCATCTAGGAGGTTTCATCACAGAAGAAAATTAGGACTGATGAGAATAAGAAGCCATTCCATGTTTTATTTTATTAGTGTTGTCTGTACTATGTGCAAACAAGAAAATGCCAAGTTCATACCAGCCTGGCAGCTACCAGGGAGTAAAAGGTTTGCTAAAGCATGAAAAGCACACTGGGGAGCTGAAAATAAAGACTCCTGTGAGGCAATTATATTAGTATATTGCGAGTGAAGACTTTATAAGATCAACAGTAAGCTACAGGGAGGGACTACTAACCAGAAATCAAAAAAGTCAAACTCCTACTACATAAAACAGAAAATATTTTCATCAAGAAAAGGCCTTTATTTTGTGTTACAAGGTGATCTGAATTATGAAAAGAAAAAAGGTTCTGTTTTGTGGATGTGGTGGGAAACTTGTGAATCAGCATCACTTTTTTCTCTCTTGCAGGCAACTTGACCTAATTTTTTTCTATTACCCCTGCAGTAAGAGCGATAACATTTCCATTTCTATTCAAAGTTAAGAACATCTGTAACATACCATATGGGTGTCCTAATGACCGAAGATAGCAGCTGGCCCAGCTCTGCTGGGAGACAACATGTAGGTTTTGGGAATAAACTGCAAAACATAGTTCCCCAGATAACAAAGGTTGGGCAGTGGCTTCCCAGTTACCTGAAGGAGACAGAAAGGAGAAGAGAGTCAGAGGAAAGTCAAAGAGTTCTTCTAGAGATAAATGCGAAAAATTGTGAGCAGGGACATGTACTTGTAAATTCTTATGTCATTCTCACTTGCTGCAGTAACAAAGCTATAATTTACAGCTTGAGTAATCCCACAGAATGTATCCTCTTACTGTCTATGGAAAACATTGTAATCACTCTATCATGCATTAATTTTAGTGCATTGTGGATCAACTCCTACATATTTGAATATGAATGTTTAATAGGAGTCTTGGGCTTTTTAGCTTCCAGAGCACAGCGAATTCAAAACAATATTCAGTTTTATCACAGCAGCAGTACAAATAGCAAAGAAGAAGCATAGCTTCTGGAGTGTCAGATAGATAAATAGGCAGACTCATATGTATGTAATAGCTCCCACGTGTCTGCAGGACAAGGAGGAAAATTAGGTTAGACGTTGACCTGTGTACTGTGGTGATAATAGTTATGTTATAGCCAGATACTCCTGTAGTGATGATGGCAAAGACAAGTACAAATTTTAAGTTAAAAGCACATTAGAAAACTGTAGATATTGTACACTCATTGCAGTGGTTTACCACAGGAACTGTAGAAATCAAACTACAGAAATTTTGGGAACAAAGACTGACTATAACATTTGCATTTGACAAATGCATGACTGATTCATACCATTTTTCAAATGATCATAGTTGCAAGTGCCAAAACAATACAAATGAACCAGGAAAGTCAACATAATTACTGCTGAAAATTATTTTTTCCCCTGTGATCAAAAATTACCTGGGCAACACAATGAAGTTCAAGTTGCTGTGTGTTACTTTAAAAACATAATTCCAGAAGCAGTTCTGTATCATCAGTTACCTCTGCTGTTTTTTCTTTCTGGAGCAAAACAGTTGATTGCTGCAGGGCTAGGTTTGCAAACTGTGTAGGTGAAAATTAAGTGTTTTATCTCTGTGTGAAATTGTACAAATAGAGAATTTTAGACTACAGACTGTTCTGTTGATGGTGAATTTTTAAATCAGATTTGTCTTCAAGAAAAGCGTAATTGAAAAATTCTGAAATACTGCTGTTGGACTGAGAATCAGTGATGTGACAGGCATGGTGCATACCTGGCTATAACCTCAACTTTTAAATAACTTTAACAAGTTGTTCTGAATGTTCATGTCACGCTGAAAGTTGATTATTCTAAATAGCAGAAGTTTTTGCAGTCTGTACAGATTTTCTGCTTTAAATCCTTTGGGTTGCTGCATGATGGCTTAATTCTTAGCTGATTACAGGTACAGGTTGGTTTGGGTTTTTTTCCTTTTCCACAACAGAAAGGAAATTAGACTCCAGGACTTAGAGGATTTGTTAGGTTATGGGTTTTTTTCTTATATGGTTCATTTACGGTGCAGAAAAACTATGACTAAAATCACATTTGTTGCGTGACTGTTGTAACTCCAATACAGTCTTCTTGAAATTGTGGAATCTGAAGAAGCAGCAAACACAGAAACTGAGTAAAAGATAACATCTGCAGCAAATGCACAGGTCTGCTTCAGTGCAGCCACATGACAAAAATAATTATTGATACACCAGTAAAAGAAGTATTTTATGAAAAGGAAGGAAAGGGAGGAAAGGCACTGGTCCTCTGCACAGAGATACCACTGAAACACTGACAAAACTAGCCTAAAGCATACAAGGAGCTTCATCAGAAGGCACTTGGAAAAGAGCTGGGGAGCAGGCACTCTCTCTGTACTAATTTCTGTTTTCCCACTGATCCCCAGGGAGCGTTTCTAATACTCTGCTGGAATCTATCTCAGGTGACTGAGTTCGTTTGGAAAGAAGGGTAGACTAGCTCACCACAGGGTAGTGTAATGATGTTTTCACATGTCCATCCTTTATGCAGACGGAAGGAAACATTTTTGCACAAGTTACACTTTTGGGGGAGGGGAGGAAGTTGTCTTTTCTTAATTCCTGTGCTTCTTTCTATGCTTGGGAAGGATACAAATGCTTGCATGCACATACAGTTGTGGACACAAGTGCAGATAAACAAGTTACAGTCAGCTGTCAACATTTCCATTCTTATTCCTAGAGCTGTGTAGTTTTTTTCGTGCTACTCCATTTAATAATTTTTAGCTTAGATAAAATGAACTTACAGTATTACTGTTACAATAATCAATAGGAATAAATTCAGTTTTAATTAATTGTAAGTAAATGCATAGGCATTCCCTATAAAAGAATTCTATACTAAATCCATACTATAGTGAACAAAAAGGACATAATTACGAGTTTCTATTTTATGCTGTTTCTTTCCCAGGAGTCATTCGGCATGTTGGAGATGCACTGAAAGATCATGCCTCAAAATCTCGAGGGAAGATCTGCACCATTGGTATAGCTCCCTGGGGAATTGTGGAAAATCAAGAGGATCTGATTGGCAAAGATGTAAGCCCTATGTGGACATAGATCACCCCCAACATATATATAAATCTTCCAGTTATTTTTCCTTTCCTTTCCATCCCTCACTTAACAATTCCTCATAGAATTAATTTCTGCAGAAAAAAATCAATACATACACAGGTTTTCCATTACGGCTGATAGCAATTTTGACATGGCAACACTAAAAATTCCTGCACTGTATGTTCTTTAAAAATAAATTATAAAGAAATGTCATTAAGTGCTATTTTTGAAAATACATTAAAGCTTCATCCTTAGAACAGTATGAACCCTGAGAAGCACCTAAGAAAACAGATTGCAAAGCTCAAAGTCTGATTTATTTTGAAACAATACTGTGTTGCATTAGTTAAATTCAGAATTGTAGACTGTCTCCCTTCCGATATATTCTGTCCTATACATTTTCATTACTGCAATTGTGAAGAGTCTTGTAAATGTATTGGACTTGAGATCAGACCTCAAAGAATCATTACTTCAGTCAGCTTCTGAAGGGCAGGGTTGGTGTTTTTTGTACTTTCATATCATTCTTCTGTTTGAAACCTATTTTGTCACTCAGAAAGATTAGCCCCCTGATTTCAAATACATGAATAGTTTACTTACAATGGTTATATGTTACCTGAAGCTTTTCTGAGCCCTTTTTCTTCCCTCACCTCTGGTCCATTCCCAAGCAATCTGCCTGAGACTCAGTGGCTAACTGTGAGTGGAGAAGGGATACAGTATTCATTCTGCATAATGAACATTTTCATTGTCTACATTACTCTAAACCATTCTTCTCTGAATGTTGATCCATTAGCAAGTTGGGGAAGGGAAGAAGATTCAATTATCGGTTAGGTCAGAAGGAATTACAGCGAGTATGAAGAAATTGATGCAACTGGAATTCATTGCAATTCACTATTACATTATAGCCATCAGGGGGAATTGTATTAGCATGGGGTTTTGTACGCTAATACCACCAGTGCTTCTATACTAGGGTTACCAATATATACAAACAAGCAGGATGAGACTTTGCAGCAATAATTCTGAATCATTAAGGAACTCTTCTGAGATGCAGTGCGAAAAGCGACTAGCAGAAATAGCTAACCACAAAGATGATGTGCCTCCTGTTAAAACAAATGTAATGTACACATTAATTTCAAATAAGCAGTCTTTACTGACTAGGCATGGAGTTCTGGATGCATTGTAAGAAGAAAGAAGGCAAGAAAGGACATCAAATTTGTTGTGAATTTTGGGACATTGGTACTATTCCATTAGTTATTTCCACCTGTTGGAAAGCTACATACCCCTGTTCCCAGCTAGTTACCGCCTACTAAAGGGGTTATGGAGACTTCTTTTACAGAAAAAGCTGAAGAAAGAAGTTGGTTTCCCAGCTGTTTCAGACAACTGGAACAGCCCCCCTGATTTCTGATTTCTTTAAGAAACCTTTTCCTCTAAATGTCCTTCCAATTTAACAGGAAACCAAGAACTAATATGCTAACTTTTTTTAAAAAAAAAGCTTTCTGGTAAATCAAAAAAGGTAAATAATTAGTCTGATCATCAGACAGAAAGTGACAGAAGATTAAAAAGCAGTAAAGACAGCAAATTTGGGTAGTGTTCCACTAAAGCAGCCACAATTATATTACTAGGATTACAGTTACAGGGTCATCACTAAGGACAAAAATAGTTCCAAAATGTATCTGTGATTGATAGCAGAGATGGAAACTTTTCCTCCCAACCTCCTGGCCCCTAATATTTTCATAAAATGATTGATTAGTGGCATGATGCAATGCTGAAGCACTTCTGGTTTTATCCATCTCTAATGCACATGTAATTATATCACTTTATGCTTACTGATATTGAATTTCGTCTTCCATTTTATTGCCTAGTCAGGCTGCTTTATGAAGACTTTCTTTAACTCTTCATTGTCCAGTGAAATATCTGTAAGCTTTTCACACTTGTATTAACCCCAAATCCCTTAGAACTGTGTTGAACAGAACACGACCCAGCGAGGTAGGACACATTTCACTAAATCTTCTTAGTAACACTCAGTCTTTGCAAAAATTAGCTTTTCTTCATACTGTTTTCTCTCCCTTCCCCCCCAGCTTTCCCCAGTTACTAATCCCTCAAAGGGCTTTCCCTCTTATGCCATGTGTGCAGTTTCTTTACACGCATTTGGTGAGGAAGCTTTTTTGAAAGCTTTTTGAAAATCAAAGTGTACAATATTGACTGGCTCATTAGAGGTGAATGCTGTGAAATGAACCAAGGAGGTGAAATATAAATAGTACCATAAGCATGTAAAATGAATCATCATTAAGCAAGCAACAAAGGCCAGAAAGGATTATTTTGGGGGGGGCGGGGGGGCTGGGGGGGAAGTCAACCAATAGTAAAAGGCCTGTCAAATTCCAACATCAATGTGACTTTATGCCTATATGCACTATGTCCAGTTAAATTATTATCAAAACTCAAGAGTTGTCAAAACATACCATTCCAGCATCAGCTAGATACAGAAAAATGTCTTAGTCATGGGATTTGGGGAGGGGAAGAGGGAGAGGGGAAGTTGTTGCCATTGCACGTGCCCCAGTGCATGTTGCCTCCCTGTGCTTCGTGGAAGTCAGGGGTGCTCAGCAGAGCTGTGCCTCTGCTAATGCCCCAGCCCTTGCCTGGCTTGTATGGGTTTGGAAGTTATAGCTGAGGAGTTTTATTACGTTTACCAGTCCATCCAAATCAATCAGCTCTTAGGAATCCCAAGGGCTTTCCTCAGACACATAAAGAGAACTGGCCAAGTTAAGCAAAATATTGCTGTTGTTGGCTATTTGTTATCTTGTGGTGGTTAAAGATCCCTAAAGAGACTTGTCTTTCCTACTCCAGTACTGTAAAAGCAATATAGCAAAAATAGTGCCCCTCTTAACACACTTAGATTCTAATTCAAAAACAAAGCACACAAGGGAAAGGTAGTCAGTTGACTTATTTCCAATTTTCTGATAGAACTGAGAAAGTAGGGTGGCTTGCTCAGTCATATAGAAAACAAGTTTCTGCCTATGTACAGAGACATTCTTCCTTTTAAAAGAGCGCACTTTGTGAGTCTTCATAACATGCACATCTTTCCTTTCAAAGTCTGTTCAGTCCTCATTTGGGTTTAATTCCTAGTCACCTCAGTAGGAATAGTACCTGGATTACAAAGAGAACACTGATTTTAGTACTTTACTTTTGCTCAGTGAAGTCATTCGAATAAGTTTCATTTTTAGTCCGAAGAGGCTAGTGTTTGAGATTTAAATCAAAATATGCTTTTATTGTGCAACTCAGTGAAATGCATATCCCCAGCATACTGTGATACATCATTGATCAGTCAAGATGATGTAGTAAATAACCTAACTTAAACAGAATGTATTTTTTAGGAATTAAAAGTTTTGAGAAAAAAACAACTTTTTCTTACTGGACTAAATTAAACTAAAATTGAGCTCCTGTGCTGCTATGCTGAATCACTACAAAATCCATGACACCCACTCTTCTATGCCTGCTATAAAAATCCTTCCATACATGGATCCAGCAGGTTGACATAAGGAGAAATTCCTAAATTCTCTCAAAATTTCTTGAGTTTTATTTGTCTCACTTAGAGTACTATTATAGCTGTGGATTATAGTGTGTTTCTCTCCCTATATTACTTCATTGATTTTTCTGTTACACTCACCAACTAAAGTATGGCAAAACTGAAGCTCAGGAGAAATTCTGGAAAAAGTAGAATGCTTATTATTTTTAACAAAGGCTTTAGCCAGTGAACAGGAAGCAATAATAGTCAGCTTTTATCATTTAGTGCAGCAGAACACAAACCCGAAATTATAAGCCTACTCTGTAGACTTGTGCATAAACAGGTAAAAGTGCTACATAAGCAAAAACTGTTATCAGAAAGAAAATTACTTTCTCACAGCAAATTTATATCTTTATAATAAATATATATTATAAAAATATATATTATATGTAGCATATATTAAATATAATATATAATATTGGTTTTATTCTTTTACATTATTTATAGCCCATATATGTTATATATTATATATATTTGTATATGTATCAATCCCTTTCATGCACTCTGCTGCAGAATAAATTATATATTTTAACTGCTAGAACTCAAATGTTGGAAGCACGATCATCACCAGTTGTAGATGTCAGTTGTTATGGACTTCCCTAATAACAGATGCCTGTTCTTTTGTACTGCTCAGAATATGCAGAAAAAATAAATTTCATAAAACTCCATCAAATGAGAATAATTCTACTTGAAACCTACTCTTCTATACAGCTGAAATCAGAAAAATAATGAGCAAATATTGTCACTTTTTATATAAATGCTAAATCTACATTGCAGTAAACATAAGTTGAATCCAAACACTCTTAGATATTACTTTTCTTAAAAAATAAAGCCTGGATTTCTCAGCCTGTTCCTAGGTAATGCTTCTGATTTATTAAAGATTCCAGTTTCAGAGTAACCAATTTTTATATTAACACAGTTGCTGATTTTTATAGCTACAACTGGAGGTAAAAAAATGTAATCAGCAAAGTTTTCTCTGGGATGGTCAAAAGTTCTTGCAAGTTTGCTACCAGAGGGTACCAATTTAGATCACTCACAGCAGAACTCTGCAGTCTTGCTCTACTTGCTTATTTGTATCTTCAGCTTTATTCAGGATTGCTTTGGATGGTGAAATAGGGAGGAAGTTTAAGACTGGAAGGTTGTATGGACTTTGGAGGGCAGGGTCACACTGGAGAAGTTAGAAGTCAGCCTGTCATGGAGCAGGTGTTAACATCAACTTCTCAAAATCCCTGGGCAATAACAGACTCAACAATTTCGTCAGGAAAGGTGGGGACATTCCATGTTGTAGAGAGTCACCAGGTAATTATTAATAGTTACCAATCTGATTACATCATAACTCACTGCTGTTTCAGAAAGATGAATATTAGGCTGGAATTTAGGAACAGGACTGGTATACAACCTTGGGAATCATTCATTTTTATGGTACTGTCCACAGGTGAGGCCAATGTCTAGTTATTAGACAAGTCAAGGAAATAAGAGCAAACAGGAGGTGAAGAAAACATAAACAATGAGGAAAATTAAAGCTTAAAGGACTGGAATCATTTGTTATATATTACAGCTGAACTAACTGAGAAAGGCTTATTTTCATCAACACACCAAGTCCTGCCCATTCCCTTATCCCTGATCCCATCTGTAAATGCTTCATTATAGAGGATTTCTGTCTGCCAGTACCAAGTACTCTTTATTTTCAGAATACCACCTACCTCCTTGGATTACCAAAGGTTACCCAAACCAGAAAAACTGTGCATTCAAGAATAAGCATTGCCTTAGAATTAGTGTCTTCTTACTATTCATGTATATGAAAAAAATCATATAGCTACATGATAGGTATGTAGCCAGAATGCCCCACGTTAAACCACAGTCTTTAAAACACATTCCGGTGAGTCTTGTCAGAAGGACCAGTCTTCATATTCCCCACTGTCTGTGTACCAGACAACACATACATCAGATTGTCAAGATGGGCTACATGTTTCATTTTCGTCCTTTCATAGTAATCTGAATACCAACGTTAGCTTATAGCATGAGAGCATTCCCTTGTGTCTCTCATACTACTTTGGTTTTACATTGTCAGAAAGATTACGTTTTGCTTTAATTATTTTCTGCAGGTTTCAGAGTAACGATAAATGTTACAAATCTCAGGCAACTGATTAGTAAGTGTATATTTATTGTTGTTGGGTTTGTTGTTACCAATTTTGACTTGGTTTTGGTAGATAGTTTGCAATTATCCTTCAAGAAAGATGTTATTCTTTGAGAATATACTAAATTGCTGGGGAAAGAAAGATTACAAATGACTATAAATGGTTAGTTCACAAGTTTGTTTCACTATAACTTTTATCCAGTGTCAATGTCCCCTTGCAGGCTG